ACACTCAAAGCCAGCAATAAAGAAGTGCTGATCTCGTATCTCCCTCTGGCCCATATGTTTGAGAGAGTCGTGGAGGTACAGTGTGTGCATGTGCTCTGTGTGTTTTTGCAGGTTCAATGCACGCTGAGTGTCAGTGATGTTCATGTGTCCTATCTGCCTCTTGCTCACATGTTTGAAAGAGTGGTACAGGTATGTGCATGATACTTACATTGATTAAAAAAAAACATATTACAAAGCTCTGCAGTAAGTAATGTTTTTTAACTACTTTCTACATTTTATACATACAGAAAATGTCAAAGAGATGAGAGTGAGATAGAGAAAGAGAGAGAGAAAGAAAGAGAGATATTTTATTGATCCTGAGAGAAATTCAAGTTTTGCTGCACATTTACACTGTTTGTCTCAGTCTCAGTGCAGTTTAACAAGAGGACTGGTCAGGTAAGATCAGGAGATCTGTGTTTGTGTTCAATTTGAGGAGAGAATGAGACAAAAGTGCCCCTCCTCTTAATTATATAACAAAGGAAAAAAGTTAAATAACTCTTCTATATATATACTTTTTTTTGGTTTATTTTATATTCAAATCCTCAAAGTAGCCACAGTTTGCTTTGTCGAAAAATATTTAGTAGTTATTTAACTTCTTTTTTACTTCATATATTTGCTGTCTTTGGTATGTATCTAAAATGTAGAAAGTAGTAAAAATACAGAAAAAAAAAAAAACATTGAATGAGAAATGTGTGTCCAAACTTTTGACTTGTATTTAAAAGTTGTGAATATCTATATTTGCGCAAGCAGAGATTAAACTAATAAAGAAAACAGTCTTATCGGCTAAAACTGCATTTTGAGAATAAAAAATAGTAATAATAATAATATGCGCATTTAAAATAATAATTATGATTTATTTTTTAAAATAAATGATTTTCTTTTTTCTAGTCTGTTGTCCTCATCCATGGAGGGCGTATTGGGTACTTTCAGGGCGATATTAGACTTTTGATGGATGATTTGAAAACCCTTCAGCCAACTGTGTTTCCTGTTGTGCCTCGTCTTCTAAACCGCATGTTCGATAAGGTAAAACAAATATCTTTATATGTATTTTCTTTTACTATTTGCCAAAAACATTCAATTCAAAGCTCCTAATTTCCACAGATTTTCAGTCAAGCAAACACACCAATGAAACGATGGCTTTTAGACTTTGCTTTTAGAAGGAAGGAAGCTGAACTGCGCAATGGTGTGGTGAGACAAGACAGCATGTGGGACAAGCTGATCTTCAGAAAAGTACAGGTGGGTACAAAATATTAATAGATTATATATCGGTTATTATTATTTGGTATATTAGAATATGTTTACTGGTTTGTGTTTGGTATAATGTTGTTACCTCATTAAAACAGACCTGGAGTTTTGTTTTGTTTGTTTTGTTCACACATGTTTGAATAACACTTTATTATTAGTCTGTCTACATTTCCACAGCTCAAAGTGCTCTGTTCCACCTTGTGATGTCATGAAGCAGTAGTTGTCAAGTTAACAGCAACATTTCACCTTTAATTCAGGAGAGTTTGTCAGTTCCAGGGAAATTATCCAAATGATTCTAGTGAAGGTGTATGAAGTAAACAGCACAGTGGAGCACTTTCTGTATTGCCGCATGACATCACAAGGTGGAACAGAGTGTTTTCTGTATTTCAACAGGAGGACTGGTCAGGTAGGATCAGCAGATCTGTGTTTGTGTTTAGTTTGAGGAGAGGAAGAGACAAAAGAGCCCCTCCTCTTAATTATATGACAAAGGAATAAAGTTTAATAAGTCTTCTAACTATATACATTTTTTGTATGTTTATTGTGTATTCAAATCCTCAAAGTATCCACGCTTTGCTTTGTTGAAAATTTTTCTTTACTACATAATTCCATATATCTTACTTCATATATTTGCTGTCTTCCGTATGTCTCTAAAATATAGAAAGTACAGAAAAAACACAACAACAACATTGAACGAGAAGTGTGTACAAACTTTTGACTTGTATTTAAAAGTATTTGCACAAGCAGAGATGAAACTAGTAAAGGAAACAGTCATATCGACTTCAACAGTTTATTATTACTAAATCCCCAAGCATTTTGATAAATAAATCCCTAAGCATTTTAATAAATAAAATAAATTAAAAAATAACAAGCAACAAGTTTGAGAGAAGCCTAAATATGCAGGTTTGTGTGTTAAACGTGTGAATGAAACAAAACAAAACTCCAGATATGTTTGTGAGGATGAAATAAAATTATAACATTGATCAGAAAATAACATAATATGGGCCCTTTAATTGTCTTTTTGTTTTTCCAGGCGAGTCTGGGAGGTCGGGTGAGGATGATGATCACTGGAGCAGCACCGGTGTCCCCGGTCATCCTGACGTTTCTACGAGCTGCTCTGGGCTGTCAGGTCAGTCTGTTTATTATTATTATTACAAACACGACTTTTTCCTTTTATTTTCAGTCAAGCTAATCCTGCTGTTTATAGTTTTATGAAGGCTACGGACAGACTGAATGCACAGCAGGCTGCTCTATGTCGATGCCTGGAGACTGGAGTGCAGGTAAATCAGTTTGATGATTTTAAACAGATGCCCTTCCAAATCACTTCTATAATCTCAAATCAACTGCTTTGAATCATGAAATAAGTTATTATTTGCAGTATTTAGGGTTCCCATGGTCATGGAAAGCCTGGAAAAGTCATGGAAGTGTGTAAATTAAATGGAAGTTTTAGAAAAGTCATGGAATTTTAGTATCTCTTTCATGCAACTACAGTGGTCTGTTAGGCTATTAGGAATATGTCTGAATGTTTAAAAGAGACGACAATAAATGCACTGACAGTATTTTGAACATTAAAAAACTATAATACCAGACCATAAGGTGAGTGGAAGGGTTAACATTTCATCTTTAGCCCTAAAAATTAGCTTAATTCATGTAGGGTGCTGCAAAGTCATGGAAAATTCACTTTAGGTCATGAAAAAGTCATGGAAAAGTTTGTAAATGTTATCAGTGAAAAAGAGAGGGAACCCTGAGTATTAGTTATATTGTTATTACATAGAATTGTTAAATATTGTTTTGGCTGTTTATAATACCAAACAGATGTGCTGTGTTGTCTTGCGTGAGAGCTCAGAAAATTTCTGTCTTCACTCCCACGCTCTCCACCCACTTCTCTGTTCTACTTGAGATTTTTCAAAATATTCAAACCCTCAATCATAGATATAAGGTTAAAGAAATGTCAGCAGGATCAGTTTTGCAATTCTGAACAGGAAGTAGAATAGATCTAAAACTAGTTAATAATAAACACAGGTCCACAGTGTGTTTTTTGGTTAACACACACACACACACACACAATAAATAATATTAAGTCTGTGTTAATGTGAGGTTATAGTTGTAATACTGAATACCTGAATACCTATTTTATGAAAGTGTAAATTTACCTAAGAGTTTATAAAAGTTAAAATCAGACTTTTTAATTGGTCATTTGTGATGGAGAAAGTGAATTGTCCAATCAGATCACTTCTTTAGGAGGACTTAGAAATGTTATTGTACCTGAAATTTAAATTTTCATGTTATCATGTTTTTGATATAACATAATTTTCAGTTTATAATTTTAAAAATGTTCTATATGTTGTTTCAGGACATGTGGGGCCTCCTCTTCCCTGTAATATTGTGAAACTGGTGGATGTGGCAGAAATGAACTACCTGGCAGCCAATGGGGAAGGAGAGGTGAGCTACAAAAGGTTTCACTTACAGAATTCAGAGTTTCATATCCATATAAATAATCATATTAAAATTACCAAGGCAAAATACCGTCTCGTACTCAGTGAATCTTAACTTATGTATTTGGCCCAGGTTTTACTCTATTCATCTGTACTGCCAGTAATCTCAACAAATCAACAAATGTATGAATCTGCGTCCCTCTAGCCTGCAGTGTAGGGATTTGGCCACAAGATGGAGCCATTAGAACATATTAAACAATGGGCACCAGATGAAAAGATGAAACATGTATTTGTAATAATAATTTCTTTGCTGTAGGTGTGTGTGAAAGGACCAAATGTATTCAAGGGCTACTTAAAGGATCCGGAAAAAACAGCAGAGGCCATCGACCAGGACGGGTGGCTACACACGGGGGATATTGGCAAATGGCTTCCGGTAAGCACATCCTTTTTTTTTTTTTTTTCTCAGTTGAATAAATTTTATTTTTATTTTTATTATTATTATTATTTTTTTTATTATTACTTGTGGCTACTAATGGCTGTGGATGTGGATTCTTCTTATTTCTCTCTTGTAAAAATTGTGTGTTTAACGTGAATTTGTCTCTTACAGAACGGTACTCTGAAAATTATTGACAGGAAGAAACACATTTTTAAGCTGGCTCAAGGAGAATATATTGCTCCAGAGAAAATTGAAACAGTTTATAATCGTAGTGACCCAGTTGCACAAATATTCGTACATGGAGACAGTTTGCAGGTCAGTTTTTCACTTTAACTTTACCTTTAAACTTTTGGGGAAGCTACTCACTAACTTACCTTGTCTTTTTTATTTATTCCAGGCTTGTTTGGTTGGAATAGTTGTCCCGGATCCTGACTATTTGCCTCTATGGGTGAAGAAAAAGGGAATAGAGGGGTCTTACTCTGAACTGTGCAGCAGCAAGGTTGGTATATTGTAATTTGTAACAGCAGTTTACAAACTGGATGTTGCGAGACACTGAGGCACAAGATGATTTCAAGACTTCGCTTAAAAATTTTGTAACTTAATATTTTCTTCGAAGGGCCTAGATTGCGTTTTTTTCTGATTTATGTTGTAATGTTGTTTCCTCATCACAAACATACCTGGAATTGTGTTTTGTTTCATTCACACATTTAACACACAAACTCTACATATTTAGACTAAGTTTTTCTCTCAAACTGAAAACTGTACCACTTTGTGATGTCATTTGGTAATACAGGAAGTGCTCCACTGTGTTTTTAAACTCCATACACCTTCACTAGAATCATTTTGGATCATTTCAGCCCTGGAATTGCCAATCTCTACTAAACAAAAGGTAAAAGGCTGTAGCTCTTAACTGGAAAACTATCAATACATGACATTACAAGGTGGAACAGGATATTTTATGCTTTGGAGATGCAGATACCTCTTGTATATAGCTGAAATTCTATATTGTACTTATACTTATTTATCTATTTTACTTTGACTCGTACATATACATTTATTCAATTATGCCTTCTGCCTTACTTAGAACTTATCATTACCATTTATATATATTTTTTTTACTCTTTGTTATTATATTTATTGTGACGTGTGAGCTACTGTGTCCAAATAATTTCCCTTGTGGATCAATAAAGTTTGTCTAAGTCTAAGACAAACCAATAAACAAGGGTTACTCAGACATTTGTGAATGAAACAAAACGCAAATCCAGGTATGTTTTTGATGAGGTAACATCTATAACAGTGTATGTAAAAATGCACTGCTCGATATGAAACCAAAAAACATAATATTTTTCAGGAGGTGAAGAAGGCCATTCTAGAGGACATCTTGAGATTGGGAAAAGAGGCTGGGCTCAAGTCTTTTGAACAGGTAATTGTTATGAAAGTTTAAACAAATCCCTAGGCCTGTCACGATAATTACTATATCAACTTATCATTCAGTATAGGATAGATGGAACAATAGTTTTTGGGGTCAGTATTTATCATGTTTAGATTTTCTTTGCACTACTGTGAGGTTTTTGGTTATTTTTTGGCCATATGATAAGATTTTAGCCCTAAAAGGTTGGAATAATAACTTCTATGACTCATTACAGATGCAAACTAAGTACTAAAGTCTTTCATTCTGCTGTTTACTTATTGCAGCTCATGATTTTTTTTTTTACGATATTGTACATTAAAGATGGGCAGATATGATATTTGGACTTTATCGGCCTTAAATCTTCAGTAGAGGCAGATTTTTGAGGCAGATTTTTTAATTTTAAGGGCAGTATTTTGGTGAATTTTCTGCCTAAAAAATACACACAAGGTTTTATATTAGCATTTTAATACAATTCGATTCAATCTTTTATTAAGAACATAATATATGGTTCATAGTAAGTAAGTATATAAAAATAAGAAGAATGCATATTTAAATATACAATGCATGTTATAATGTATACAGAAAAGACCTTCAATGTCAGAGCTCCTCACAGGACACACTAGAGTTGGAATAATCTGATTGTTCAAATTTATGACTCTACAATACAAAGAGATAACTGCACAAAACCTTACTATACAAATCTCTTATAGCTTTGTGGTTAAAAAAAGGCCTTGGGGGATTTTTGTTTTAAATTCAAAATACATAATTTGCCACATATCGGCCCAAAAATATCGGCAGAACTTATTGGCTCTGTATTCTAAACAATCAATTATCAACATCGGCCATGAAAAAACCCATATCGATCGATCTCTATTGTAATTTTAGAATATTTTTTTGTGGTTTAAATCTGCTCTAGGCTTATTGTGTCAATTGCATAAATTAGTTTGTGTATTGTCGTTTTTTGTCTATATTTTTTTATGATAGACCTAACTCTCTGTTGTTGGTGCTTTCTCTTATTTGTTTTTATATGTGTAATAGTAACAGTAATCATTATGAGAGTTTAAAGGTGCGCTCTGTAACTTTTCTGGTGGAGGGTCCGTCATATGCTTTTTTTTCCATGTAGATGTAATTGCTTTGTCGGGAATGTTTCACAGTATGGCATTAAACCGTTGTATCTTCATGGAGACCAAACCACACCAAGTTGCAGCTCAGATCTGTGGAGAGGCACAGTCATCATGTCTGTTTTTTATGTATTTTTGAGCTATAAAACCATCTGTAATTGAGTAAATGTAAGCTTGAGCTGTTTAATGTCATACTGTGGAACATTCTAGGCAGAGCAATGGCATCTCCATAGAAACAAGCAGGTGACCAACCCCCCAACCATAGTTACATAGTGCAACCATTGCCTCCCTGTTGTGTTTTTTCTAATCATGTGTCTCTGTTTGTAGGTACGAGATATCACCCTCCATCCTGAGCTGTTCTCTGTTCAAAATGGTCTCCTCACTCCCACGTTAAAGGCCAAGAGAGCTGAACTACGCAGCCACTTCAGAGACCAGATCGATGCCATGTACGCTAACATTAAAATGTAGATATTTACCAATATCATTATTGCTGTTGAATCACTTTTACCATTTCAGGGGTTTCAGATGTACTATGAATTTAGAATAAGTATTTATTTGGAAGTGAGATTTTCCATAGCAGTGGGTGCACAGATATACTGGTGTATACAGTAAATAAATAAACAGATTAATGGTTATCTATTTATGAATGATACTTGTTAATAAATCTGCTAAAATCATGAATTATTTGGTTCTGCTTCATGAAAACATTTTCATTTTTATTGTTCCCATCTTGAAAAAGATTGTATTTGTATTGTTAGTATTAAACAGAGTTGTACACAAAGTGCACCTTTTTAAAGATTCTTAGAGGAAGTTAGTGCACTAAATAAACAAGTAAATCTGCCCCATTTTTGTTTTTCAACACATTTCATTGGATATACAACTTCTGCAATCAAAATTTACCAAAAACCACTATGAAACATGTCATTTGGCTTCTGTTAGTTTTCTTAATAAAAACATTTGTAAAAAAAAAAAAAAAAAAAAATCATGGCTTTCTGATTGTTTCTGAGTTCTAGTTGTCTTCTTAATCTTCTTAAGATCAGTCATGTATGACCATGTATGAGTATAAACAGGTGCAGCTTCGTCACATTTACAATAGCTGTTTTTGTAGTTTTCAGAATACAGTGACTCTTTACTGTGACACTTTGGTCTGCTGCTTTACCACTGAGGACTTCACACCACATTTATAACTGTAATAACAATGCATTACATTGTTTATGTTTATTTTGTGGTGATTTAAATAACATTAATTTCACAAAATAAGTTTTAACACACCCCAAATCATGTTAAAGTTGTTTTATAGACAGAATGACGATTCATTAACAAATCAAAAACACTTAAATTAAAATGGTATAATTCAGACAAATAAAGCATAGAACTGTATCATTCTAATGTATATAAACTGTACATTCTTCATCAAAGCATTCTGAACAATTATCACATTGCACAAAACTTATTAATAATTTAACACTATATTATTTTAACTTTTGTGGATTCGTTTTTGGATAATCCTCCCTCTTCACTGGGAGTCATAATCATCCATACATTTCAAAAGTAGCTCATCTGGAAGCTCCTTGTTTTGTTCAAAGGCATCTAGACTCTCCAAAAAGTCCTGGTCGTCCTGTGTATTGTCCCAGGTGTCTGCAGACTTCTTCTCTGGCTGCTCTGTGTCCATCTGGGCCAGAGGGAGCTGTTTGGTTTGGCCTTGGCTCAGTTCAATATTGCCGCTGTCATCCATTAAGTACATCTGGTCTTCCTCATCCTGTTGAACAAAGTTTGAGTCATTACCACAAGAAGTTTGGGGGTCAGTTGTTTAAAAGGAACGTACCAGTTCAATCAGATAACTTATGCATATTTCTCGTGGCAGTGGGTAACCTGTAAATACCACAAAGGAGAAACCTCATAGTAACAAGCCTCCTCAAAAACATACCTGGAGTTGTGTTTTGTTTCATTGTTGTCTTTTACCTTTAGTTCAGTAGAGATTGTCAATTCAAAGGGTGAAATCTACCAAATGATTCTTGTGTAGGTGTAAGGAGTTTGAGAGAAGAACTCAGCTTAAATATGCAGGGTTTGTGTGTTAAATGTGTAAACGAAACAAAACACACCTCCAGGTATGTTTGTGATGAGGAAACAAATAGCGTAATATACTGAAAGGAGACATACTCGGGGATCTGAAGTTCTTGCAGTCAGGGTCATGGCATTTCTGATACCACACTTCCTCTTTGAGATCCACAACAATCCTGAGTGTGAAATTAACACATGCTCAGAACAGTGAGGCACACAGGTAAACAGCCATAACATGAACAGTACATACAAGATGTTGTTGCTTTTGTGAAATCTGCCCACATTTTCACACCAGCGGAAGTTGGCGATGTCATAAACCAGCAACTGGTCAGCTGCGAAATAGTGCCATCGCCTGATTCCTTTAGATGGGACACAGAGTACAGTTAAAGTTTGACAAAAAGCACAATGCTGGATGTTTCATTTCCATATTTAAGGTGCAATGGGTAACTTTCCTGGTGGAGAGTCCATCACCTGCTAGTGTCATAGAGATGTGATTGCTTTGCCATGAATGTTTCACAGTATGGTCATCTGTCTTGCATGTCATTGATTATCAGTGCTTTTATTGGTCAGAAACACCTTGAAAAGCGTGCATTTGTACATTGAGTTGGCTCACCTCTGAAGAATTGACCTGTAACTTGGCCTGGTGGTGTCACCTGCTTGTCCTTATGAAGATGAATAAGTTTAATACTATACTGTGGAACATCTCCATGAAGACAAACAGATGAAGGACTGTTCACCATAAAAGTTGCACATTGCACCTTTAAGTGAATTAAAGTTAGGTTATTGTCATGGAAACATGGAAAAGACAGTTCAGTATGTTTGTTATTCCTCTTAGGCAGACTATAAATAAGTAATTGGCTCTAATCTTACAACATTATTGTTTTTACAATTGTTTTTCTTTAAAATTTTAATCCTTATTCTCCTGTATACAAACATACAGTGTACACCGCACACATACCTCCCTCGATACCATCTTTTTGAACCAAAGTTAAAACAAACTGGTCCAGTTCTTGATGAGGCGATGACATGCAGCCAGAAAGTGGAGACGCTGTGGGGATGATTGTACTTTAAGTTATTCAGTTTCATAGCATGACAATAAAAGTCCCAATTATAGCTTCATGGGTATAGATGCAACTAGGTCTGTCACAACTGATTGATTGTTTTTATTTTGAGCATATGCAGAGCACAAGGAAATGTCAGCATTTTTCAATTCACATATGTAGAAAAGAAAATGCACTGCTTGCTTGAAAGGGAATGAGAAGAAGCAAAAACACTCATTTACTCTCACCCCCATTCAATATTTACAACTAAATGTGAATGCCATTCCAACATATATATTTCTTTGTTTTACTTTTTAAATAATTATAGAAATACATTTATTACTGTGCTGACTGAGTGTTCAATACATGAAAGCTGGAACGGTATATTTTGTGGCAATTTATCGTGTGTAAAATGTCTCTGTAAAAGTGGGGTGATTTGGGGTATTTTTGTTGTAATAAGGTAAGATTTGAGCTGTAGAGGGTTGAAAAAGTAACTTCTACAGGCAATTATTGCTTCATTCTGCTATTCATTTTTTGCAGCTCAGGCCTTCTAATGACACTGTCTATTTAAAAATGGTTTAATGGTTATTTCTTTCGTTATTGTTAGTGTGTCACTGGCATTAAGTAGTTTCAGTATTAGCAAATGTAGCAAAATAGCTTTAAAGTGGGTTATCCTGACAGGCTTATTTTTACAAAATTTAACCAACACTTAAAGTAATACAGCTCTGAGTCTCCCCCTTGTGGAAATATAGATATAGACACTTGTCAAGTGTACAACACAAATTCCTAGTCACCTTACCTTTCCTTGAAGCTGGTCCCTGCCGGCTCCTTCCCGTTTGATTGGCTTCAGTCTTTTCTGAGAAGGTAAGAATCCTTTGGCCTGTAAAACTTAAAATCCACAAACTGTTTTAATGTTTCTGATACACAACCATGATTAGCTAACTTATATTCAAAACAGATACCTGATATTACAGACTAATGAAGCCAGAAATATTCCCTGTTCCACAGAAACACCCTTCTCGGTTTTTGGTGTGAATTTATTGTCTTCTGCCACAGTAAAAGCTGCATTTTTACCCACCTTTGATGACTTGTAAAGGCGGAAATTTCTGTTTTTTGTGTAAACTCCTTTAAAATATATAAAATAAAACACTATCACCACTAAATAAGGTAACAGAAAATCAATAAAGTTTAAATTTTTGAAAACTTACCCAGATCAACAAAAATGCCATCCTCCCCATTCTTGTTTTTAATGAGCAGGAAGCTGAGGTCTTTGCCTTCAGATTTGTGTTTTTTGGTCTGTGGTTCTTCAGATGTTTTATCAGCAATCATTACTGGATCCTTTTCATGTAAGCTACAAAATATTGTAATTGAAAGTTATATTTTAGCATAGAAAGTGGTCTCTTCAATGAAAAAAGCTAACCTGTTTTTTGGCAATGAAGATATGCAGCCTTTGGTTCGAATAGGTTCTAAGATTTTATGAACAAATCTCCCTGCAAGAAGAGAGCACATAGAAAAATAGTATTAGGATATAGCATTAGGATTGAACTGAACATACCAACATGGATGTTGTCTTTGAAGGCTGCGTTTGGGAGATTGAAGATGAGATGACGACTGAACTTGTCATTTGTGCTTGAGTCCAGATTAAGGACATTCTGTGCAGAGCAGTCAATCCCATATGTCTCTTTCAGCTTCGCACACACGTACTGTCAACACAAATGTTAGTGCTATGTGCTGTAATCTAAATCTACAGAGAATAGGATGAGGCATAACTTTGTTTGCCATGGCAGTTAAATATGAGCTACCTGAATAAGTAAAGACACCATCCTTTTGCCATCTGCCCTAATGTTTGAAGGCTTGTGAAACTCCAGGTCAAAATAGAGCTTACAAACTGCTCCCTCTGGTATCACTTCATAGCAGTGCATCAGAGACTGTGGGTAAGTTCTGACATTCAGAAAAAAACACAATCATGAGTTAGTATCTCATCATGACCTTAAACCCAGTGATGGACGATCCACATACACACCTGTAGTAATGCCAGAGCTCACTGTAACTGGTAACAAGGTACATCCTCTGCCCAAGCGACGTCATCTCTTTTTCCAGTGCAAAGACATGTACCGCCTTCAGATAAAACATCCACACACATGTATTCTGCCATACATATGGGAAAGGCAGGTGCTTATGTTATGGACAATACTGTTACCTCTTTGCAAGTCTGTGCAAACTGAATGGCCATACTCTGCCGGGGGAAGAGCTTCCACACAGATGCAGGCTGGCATGGCCACAGTCTCGGCTTGTAGCCTGAGGTCAGTGGCTTCTTCTCAAAAGACCGAGCGAGCTGCTCCACCTTTTTCAGGCGATCCTCCCACTTTTTCATGGTGAGGCCTTTCAAATGTCACAAATATGAACATTGTCATTGTCAAAAAAGTACTACAGTTGCAGCCTGTAGATAATCTTAGTCTGGACTAAACGTGTCCTTCTGCAGATGCTTTCTGGAAGATGCAATAATTAATTAATTAATCAAAACATTTTACATTCAACCGATGAACATTAGTTAGCACTGTTCATGTATAATACAAGTTTATAATTATAAGTTAACAACTAAACAATCTAATAACAATAACCGCAGCAGCTTTTAGTCACTGGAAACGGTGAATTACTGGTCAACCCCATACACAAGTATAGTTTATATAATAGTTTGTTTACAGTTTACGACTGCGTTATAACGTAATCTTTAGCTGTTCTTGAACTTTGGCGCGCGCTGCGGAGCATTGATTGGAAACAAAAACATTTGGCAAAGGCATCTAAATGGGGACCAACACAAATACTCACACAAAGTAAGCAGTTAAAAGCGTAATAAGCGATACAACAATCATGTGTTTTTCCTTTTTGGCGCTCCTCCTCAAACAGGAAACCGCAGTGCGCGTGTTTCCGGTGCAGTCTCTGCTGCGCGCGCTGTACCTAAAACATGGATCTATAATAATGTGTGAAGTTTATGCTCTGTGCACACCAGAGTTCACACATGGATACACATATTAAAATAACTCTCTCTAGGGCTACTTTAGTTCAGCTATAATGGCACAGATGGTCTTTTGTAAAAGAATTCTGCAGTTTCCTTTTTTTTTTTTTTTGAGTGTGAGTTTTGAGTTGCTTTATTTTGAACATTTTAAAACCTAAGAAAGCACAACATATAGTCTTGATACTTGGAGACCTTCAAAATATGTATATTTAACAAAAAGAAAAAAATGTTAAGCGCATTTTACTTACTTATTTTGTTAGTCTCTGTATCCACTCTGTTGTTTTTAATAACTTGGTCTTTGTAGCAAGTGTTTTTGGATGCAACACTGATATTTTCTTGGTTATTGTGGCAGCATGTGTGGTCATTTTTAAACGGTACATTTTTCCAGATGAGTTTTCCCAGCTGACTTGCTTCCCTCATCACATCCTTAACAATAAACAACGGCTACTGGGGGGAAGGAAGGGGAGACCTCGCAGCGGAAAAGAGCATTGTCAAAGAGCAGACGTGGGCACACACGCACACACATACACGGTTTGATATATTCAGAAAAACATATTTTAATGAGTCTATATTAGGATAAGAGATAAGAAAAGCAATATTTTTTTACTTAATTGCAACAGTCCTACAAAAATACACAAAATACACTGGTGTTCTGGATTGTGAGGCTGGTCCTTGAAGCTTATCTCTCTACAGGAAAGGAGTTGCTCGGAAAGATTTTTTATTTTTTTTTTACTTCCGCTACACTATACAGAACAAATGCGCTGTATAAATTTGATGTAGTTCATTTTGTCTTTTACAGATTCTGGGTAAGTGTTTTTGTTTCATTTTACAGCGATAGGTTATCTGAAATATGGGTCTATCAAATGCTTTTTCTCTGTGGAGGTGTTATTGTTTTGTCTGGAATGTTTCACAGTATGGCATTAAACCTGTCTTATCTTCATGGAGACCAAACCAGACCAAGTTACAGGTCAGATCTGTGGAGAGGCCTGTCAAAATGCTTGTTTTTTATATGTATTTTTGAGTTGTAAAACCACCGGTAATTTAATAAATGTAAGGTAGAGCTGTTTAATGTCACACTGTGGAACATTCCAGGCAGAGCAATGAGATATTCATGGAAACATAAAAGATAAGGCTACCTCATAATATACATATCTTTTTCTAGAAAACTAAAATGAAGGACGGAAAGTATGTCGTTCTTGCTGCATTATGCACCTTGACTCTCTGCATCAAGGCAAGTATATTATTATTTTTACTTTTATTACTGCACAACTATAAAAGATCTCTCTAAATATATGCAGTGCTTTTCTGGTTTATTTTAAGGTGGCTGCACAAATCCCCCTGGACATGGCCCCAGATGCCGTAGACGACATGTATGAAGGATGTGCTAAAGACGCTCTGAACAAGTTTGTGCTCTCAGATTTTCTACAAGTAGAACTCAACAATAGTAAAAGTTTCCGGGAAGCATGGCTCCAGGCCGAGTCCTCCGACTGCACAAAGCTGATCCCAGGAGGACTGAAGCAACATACCACTGCACTGAGAACTATTATCGAAGATGACCATTATTTACTGAGCCTGAACTATGAAGTGTACGAGTATGGAACAAATGTCACAACCTATGAAGATTTTAACTATAAATCTCTACATTTTCTCTTGATGGACTCCATTAAACACCTTGACAGTGGTCTGGCAAATTGTAAGACAGTGTATTCTTTCTCAGACCTAGACTTCATCGCTCAGAATGGTTCCACCGTGAGACTTGGACGATTTTGGATTGGCTATCCAAGTCTGGAGAGGATCCTGAAAGAAAGAGACCTAAACAACGAAGTAATTTTAAGCATCACTACTTGCTTTTCCGCAGATCTTGGAGAGAATATTTGCAATGAGGAGTCAGTGACTCTCATTTCTCCAGCTGAGGAGTTCACTGTGGAAGACGTCAGGGTTGTAAAAGATCCAGACACATTCACTTCGATTGTTTTAAAACATTCACAAATGAAGAGCATGCACAACTGCTACATCTTCTCAAGGTAAGACTGTCTATTATAGCGGAAAAAAATATGATCATAAAGGCTGGTGATTTTAATTAGACTGTGTGTGAAGTCAAGTATTTTAAGTAGACATATTTTCAGCAGAGGAGAACACTGTGTTGCCCTCTTGTATTGCTGAGTGACATTTATTAAAAATACAAAATGCTACTACAAAAAATAATTATAGCTTCTGATAGGACAGAAGTGAAAAACGTAATTTATCTGTCTTAGAATTAGACTTAGACAGACTTTATTGCTCCACATGGGACACAGTAGCTCACACATCACAATATATTATAATAAGAAAAAAATATAAATTGTTATATATAAATAAATATAGCAAATCTATCTATCTCAGCATTTTCTGTGCAATGTTGTGTGACTGTCTGTTATTCTAATTGTTGAAAATGAGACAAAAGCTGCACAGTTACTCCCAAAATGTAATCATTGAGTGACAATGATTCAGCCAGTAAACCTGAGGAAGAGCTACTGATCGAAACAACAGATTAATAGATAGATAGATAGATAGACAGACAGATAGACAGATAGATAGATTTATTGCAGACTCGTGGTCCTGAGTCAGTACATGTCTTTATAATGTTTTTCACTGTCCTATCAGAAGCTATAATTATTTTTTGTATGAGCAGCATTTTGTATTTTTAATAAATGTCGCTCTACAGTACAAAAGGATAACACAGTGTTCTCCTTTGCTGAAAATATGTGTACTTAAAATACTTCACTTCACACACCGCCTAGTTAAAATCAACACTTTACGATCATGTTTTTTCCGGTGTCATTTTTTTTTTCCAGTGAACTGAATGCAGTTTGGGTGTGTCTCGTTGTCTTTGTTCACCGCAGTAGCCAGGCTCATGTTGTTCTAATTAGTGCTTAGTTTGGTTCAGTACCTGTGATAGCAGGTTATGTATTTACATGAGTTAAGTGTGCAAGTGTGCAAAAAAATTGAAAAGAAAAGTACAAAAATACGAAAAAAAAGACACTGTAATTTGAACAGGTTTCAACCCTTTTTAGCATTATGGCTGAGGTAATAGTTATGGAATTATCTCTATGTGTCATACTTGCTGCCTGTTTCATACCAGGAAGTAAAAATAACTTGGCAAAATATTTAGTAAAATCTTAAATATAATGCTGTTGGAGAAATTAGTAGTCCAGCCTGTTATATGCACTTTAAGAAGGTACTTTTTAGTCTAATTTATTACGTGTGTTTTCTCCTATAGGTGTGCTGACAGCTCCCCCCACTGGCTTTTCCTGGTACTTCTGACTCCATCCTTTTTCATCATCAGTTGAAATGAGACAGATCATTAGTCAAAACATTTAATTGATTTTATTCTTTGTAATTACAACATTTCTATAACCATTTTATAATTCTCGAAGTTTGTGACTGATTGTAGTTATATTATCACCTCAGCAACAAATGTACATTTAATAAAAAAATATGACCAACATGATCCAAACGCTTGTCCATAATTTTATTTACATTTAAGGTTTAGTTAACTGAAACACTGCTGTATTGGCACAATCCTTTAGAATAAACAACAGAAAGCACTTGTGAAAATTACATTCAGGGATAAACCATTTTAGTGAATCAAACATATGATGGTAACTGTGAGCAGCACTGGTCTGGTTCTGTAATATAACATTTTTTAAAACTTTATTATTAACCTTTATTTAAAAAAAAAATGATACTGATATGAAATCTCTTTTTCAAGAGTGACATGGGTCAAAGTGAAACTGCAGCACACATGAAAAAACATTTACACAATTGCACTAAAATAGAAACAGTATAAATTATTTGAAAAGAACTACATTCAAGAACAGATAATGTTCATTGGATTCCCGCTCTTTGTTTTGTAAAATACAGTGATAAACCCCTAAAAAAACAACTCACAAAGCTTCAGTTCAGATTGAGAGGTATTCTAAGCTCTGGGAGAAGCAGAACTAAACACTCGCTTCCCCCAGTCAGTCTCATACAATCTGTGGGTCAGTCTGTGGGTCAGTCTGTACTCGAAGGACAGAGAGCACCAGGCCTTCATCTCTCTGTACCAAAGGGCACGAATAGATAATCACAAATAATCTTTTAAATTAGAGAGAACCAATGAGTAAAAACCAACCCGCATTTAGCCTAAACAAGGCTGTGTCTATATTCTACCACTATGTCAGTAACATGCTTTTCAATTCTTACACAAAAATATTTTCAATACTGAAATAATCTACATTATATAAATGCAATTAGTTTTTTTTAGTAGATGCTTTTTTATACAACATGTACTGTAAATTGGGTTACTTAGGCTCATTTTTGTATTTATACATTTTTTATACATTTTACCAGAGATAACACAAATACAATAAAACTTGCAGATTCAAGCTGATTTGATACTTTGCAGTGAAATCATGCTGGGGATGTTCTACATGCATCTCTATAGTGGAATGTTCAGCAGTTACCATGGTGTCAAAATGTACACGTTACCAAATACTGCAAATAAGTTTTAAAATGGTCTGAAAACTCAAGAAAAACAATACAAAATGGATTTACACAACACATTTTCAGGAGCCTGTGATCAGTACAAGCGTTCATGGTCCTGTTTAGGTGTTGGTTAAGACTAACCAGCTCGTGACTCTAATAAGTGTTTTTAAGTGTGAGAGATTTAGTTTTAGAAGCACAAATAAACTCACCTGTTGTAGTTCCAACTACAGCTCTTCAGCTCTTTCTCGTTAGATTGCATTAAAATAAAAGCTCGGACTACTAAAGTCTAACACAGCCTCAGACAGGAAAGAACCTCTAGTTGTTGTCTACATTTCCTGGTGGAGTGATGCTATCAGCTGCAAAATATCAATAGCTTATACAGATAAATAAAGCACCATTTTACAGTTAATTACAGTATTTCAGTTGTAGTTCACATCTCAGTTACATTCACAAGACTTCACCATTGATGTCATGGCAAATACACAATAAATACATTAAAGGGCCCATATTACGCTATTTTCAGATTTATGTTAGAATGTAGTTTCCTCATCAAAAACATACCTGGAGTTTTGTTTTGCTTCATTCACACATGTTTAACACACAAAGGCTGCATATTTAGGCTCTGTTCCACCTTGTGATGTCATGTGGTAATACCAGAAGTGCTCCACTGTGTTTTTAAAACCCATACACCTTCACTAGAATCATTTGGATCATTTTTGTCCTGGAGTTGCCAGTCCCTTCTGTAGGAACCATTTACTTATTTTGTTTATTAGTTGTAGTTGATTAGTTTATTACTTTTCTTTGTCAATTAGTATGATAATTTAGTTCTGGTTAATTTGTATAATACATTTTTGCTATGTTAATATTATGTTATGTTAATTTGTGTAGTCTAATTTGGTGTTATTTACATTAGCATCTTTTCTGTTTTGGTTTAATCCACGGGGCACTAAGGGGATAAAAGAGGGTGGTACAGGTAGAACAATGTGCACCTGGGTGGGTCAGGAGAGGCAGTAAGTAGGCCTTTGTCATGTACCCTTGTTGTTTGCCTGTAAAACTGGAATAAATCTTGGAAAATACAGACATGGACATGGACAGTGATTTTGTTTTTTACTTCACTGCGTAAACCACATGCCCATGGTGCTCAAAAGTGCTTATTTGAGTCATGTTTAGTTCTGAGTTTGCTCACCGCTTTTGTTTGTTAGTTTTCGTTGACAAATAGTCACTATACCTTCTGAACTAAAGGTAAAAGGAGCTGTTAACTTGAAAACTACCACTACATGACATCACAAGATGGAGCAGAGCAATATAAACAAACTAATACTAACAACTCCAGGTATGTTTCTGATGCGGTAACAACACTCTGACATGGCTTAAAGCTCACAAGAATCCATTTTGTGTAATATAGGACCTTTAAGATGTTGATGATGATTGACGTCCTTTTACCCTGTGAGCTTTGTAAGTGCTAGCTGTCTCTAATGGAGTGGGAGGTCTGGGAGTCTAAGCGCAGCCTGTTTCCGTGGATACGTACGCTCTTGTCTTTGCTGAGGATGCTGGTGCACATGCTGCTCTGGTACCCCGGCCGCAGACCCCTATTCTGCAGCTCCAGCTCGTCATAACTGGACGCGTGAATGAAGGGACACCACCGGAAGACGTGCTTGAATCCAGCTCGGAATCTGGAAAATAGAAAATAAAATGTAAGAATGCCTGAAATGGAGAAATATGCTACCGATCAAACGTCTGGACACACTTTATCATTTTTCGGCTTTATTTTCATGGTTATTAGTAAATTCTCGCAGAAGGTAACAAAACTATGAATGGACACATATGGATAGTGAACAAAAAATAAACTCAGCATAACCCAGAACTTGTTTTTGATTGAATTTAATTTTAGATTTGATTAAATTTAAGTTTAAATTTAGGCAAAAGATCAGCCGACACCAACCTCCTCACTGCCCTCATCAGGACAAAGCAGCCCCCGTCCCCTTCCTCTGGAACTCACTCCCACAATCCAATTCAGGAACTCGGACTCACTGCAGCACTTCAAATCACTTCTAAAAACTCACCTGTTCAAACTGGCATTCCCTCCATGATTCCCCCATTTTCTACAGTGTCACTGTAAGTGTAACCCACTTATTTGTTTTTTAAAGTGTCCAAAAAAGAGCTATATAAGTCAGATGTATTATGATTATGATTACAATTATTGTGATTATGATTACGATTATGATGATTACAATATGATGATTATGATTATGATGATTATGATTATTATGATTATGGTTATTATTATGATGATTATGATTATTAAAAGGTAAAAAGGTAGCTGTTAACTTGAAAACTACCACTACATAATATCACAAGATAGAACAGAGCATTTTGAGATTTGGAGATGTAGATGGACAAATAATAAAGGGTTACTCAAACTCAAAATGTGTGAATGAGACTGAACACAACTCCAGGTATGTTTTTGAGGAGGTAACAACATTTTAATATGACTTAAAGCTCAGAAGAGTCAATTTTGTTTAACACGGACCTTTAATTTACTTGTGTATGTAACTTAACTAACCTTAATACAGTTCATATTTATAGAGCGTATAAAAAGGATTCCAGTACATGTGTCCAGATAACACGGGAAGATTGTCTAACTAACCTGGCTATTTTTAGTGGTTCTGTGCTCCACCTCACCCTCTGACTCCTTCTCCACTGATTGGGTGATGTTGTTGCTGATGTCAAGAGATGTGAGTGGTGTGGGACCTATGGGACCTCCACCAGTGCCCCTGACCCTGTTCATCTGCTTCCTTTGTGGTGCTCTTGGTCATTAGCTCGTCTCCACTCACATAGATATTGACACTTTGCAGCAGCAGGAGCAGCACGAGGGGGTGCTCCGAGAGAGACTTGTCTTGAAAGTATGAACTTAAAGACTGCTGAAATGTTAAAGTGCTAAAAGGTGAGTAGATAGTGGGGGGAAAACTATAAAAAGCTCTTAAAAGTTGATTTTATATAATGGGTCTTCTTTAAAAGTTTAAAAAATATCACTGTACTGTAAAACACATTAAGTATCCTCAAAGTAATGTAAAGCAAAGTGCAATGTATTACCTGTAAATATTCAAAGACTGTTTGAGACGAGAACAAGCCACTGCAATTTAAAAGGAACCTATATGTTTAAAAAAATTAAGATTCAGAACCAAGGTTTTGGAGCAAAGCATCGCCGTGAAAGGAGTTAACTTATGGAATAGTCTTGACAAAGTTATAATAGAATCAAGTCCAATGATGGCATTTAAAAAACATAAAATCCAGTGCAATGTGTATGTAAATATGAAAAAGAAATCTAAGTTGTTGTGCATAATAGTGAAGATTTCTGTTTGCAATTGATTAATCATTGTGACTGAACTGAAATGTCCTGATTTGAAATGTTTTAAAGTAACTATCAGTGTTGATGTTTTGTATGGAAAAGGGGGCAGATAACATAAGATGACTCTTCTTTCTGTTCCTTTTCATTAATTTTTCATATGTTTGATGTGACACTGTTATTGTCTTTTTATACTTTATGAATGAAGTAAATAAACCATAAAAACAAAAAAGCATTAGTATTATGATCTCATCTCAAAGAGGCAACTGACCGGCTGTTGAGGCAGCAGTAGATGATGGGGTTGTACATGGTGGAGCTCATGGCCAGCCACAGCACACTGAGGTAAACCTGCTGGATCGACTTCCATTTGCCCAGATCTTTGTTCAGACCCGTCACGATGAAGTAGACGTGGTAGGGCAGCCAGCAGAGGGCAAATGTCACCACCACAATAATCATCATCTTCACCACCTGTGGACACCCAGACAATACTTCATTTAACAGGATTTGCCTTTTTTCTGAGGACCCATAATTTAAAAGTCAGAAACCTTCACGACCCAACTCCATAGATATTAGTCGTAAATCACAAAATAAAGGTGGATTTGACCATTATTGAACATTAATGAGGTTATTTTATTGTT